ACGTATGCGTGTACCCTTTCGTGCATTTAGGCTACAAGATAGTATAATACATACTCCGAGTATCGAAATGCACGCTATCGTGTCGGGAATCCCGGTTTTAAAGTTTGAATCCCGTCACGATGGCGTGCATTTCGATATTTGGAGTATGTATTATACTATCTTATGTGAGATTAATCAGTGGACCTTTCGGTTCTAGGCTACATGTACGCGCTTTTTTTGAGCGAATCGCTTTAAAAACACAATCGCTATATGCAAATCTCGTGAGACGTAGACCTATTTCTCAACACGCTAAAGTTAGGTTTTCTAAAGCCATGCTGAAAATAATTATCGTGCTTTACGACGTAGACAATTTGTGCCCATCCGTTACAAATCTATTCTTCACGTTTCCTCATGCATGAACAGAGATAATCGTTTTTTAATGAAAGTTAGTTTGGACGATAACGTTCGTCATTACCAGATATGTATTTCCCTATTATTTTATTATTATATAACGAATAAAAAATCTAATTCGAGTCGCATTTAGTATTTACTTTTGTGGGTCATTTGGGGCGAATCGACGAATTGCACCATCAATCATTTTCCTTATTAATAAGGAGCATCATCGAAGATTGATGTGTGAGCACAGTAGGCCTATAATGTAGACATAATAGATTGTCAATTTAAGTATTACAAGCCAGAATTAGACTGGACCCGAAAACAACAGCAGAACCATTCATTGATGAAGCCAGACCCCGACAACGTTAGTCCACGCAGTACCAACGCAAAGCTACTTTGACTGCGCGCCATGTTGAAGAAGTCCGTCGCGTGATGAATCGTTTTCAATATTGATCCGATCAGATAGACAGGGTTGTGTCGGGCAAGCGCTCTCACGGAGTGTGGAGAAATTCGTAGATCGACTCAACATTCCCAGAACTATATAAATATATCGCTTATTTTTTCTCATATCAATATTAAGACATTTTTTTATAGCATCATTTCGTGGCGCGGCTAGGTTTGAACGTAGGTGAGCCAGGTAGAAAACCGGGGCTGGCTGCCAGTGGGTAGCCACGGCCCCCGATTGGGTACATGGGTCCGGATTTATCAAACTAGAAATCAGCTTAAATTCGTCTTAAATTCATTTTTTTGCTTAATTATCAACATTGCTTAGCTTAAACATTGCTTAATATTGAAAAGTCGATTGTACGCATGCTCCAGCTAAGACGATTTTTAAGCTAAGATTTTGCTAAAATGGTTTAATAAATCAGCTTAGGGTATTTGCTTAGGGACATCTTAACTTTTTTGACTTCAGACATTTGCTAAGCTGAGATTGGTAAATCCCAGGCTAGGAGCCAAAGCCCTAAACATTATCCCTGAGTTGCTTACATTTTGTGAGACTAATTTGGTGATTTGTATAATGTAGGCCTAATATATTATAATACATTCCGACCAAATGTATTCAATGCATTAATTTAACCATAGTTTAATAATTGTATCTAGTGTATAATATACAACTATACTAATAGTTTATAAGGTGGATACATTCGTGTTTTATCTAATAGTGAGTCCTCTCTAACAGTCATTCTAAAGGTGAGTAACAACATTAATTCCATTTGTTTTCATTGAAATGATTTATCTACAGTATTTAGCCAATGAAATGCTTTCCAATACCACGAATGTATAGTTTGAGCGACAGTCCCTTTTACTGCACATAACATTTGCACCTCAGACAACCATATGTCTATATAGTTTAGCCTATGTCTCAGATTTGCACAACAAATACATGCAACGTCAAGAGGTACGTTGGTCAGTTGACCACAACGGGAAAAAATCCATACTCTTTGTCGAATAATTTATCGTCCTTGTACAGAGAATCTTTGTTCACGAGACCAATGATAATATCTCGTCTTATTACATAAGAAATATATGAATAAATAGTTAATATAAGCCCGGAACACACGCGATACTGAGACCATTCCAAACGCAATTACGTTCCACTCTGACTATCATGTCCACCGACTGAGGGGTCAACGTTGGGTCTCAAAGAGCTCAAACATTATCATCAAAGCTTTGAATCGCTAACCGATGTTTCATCACGCTCTCTAAAACTAATTTACGCTGCTAATAACATTGTTTTAATTTACATTCAATGACGTTGGCTTACAAAATCGCCGAGAAAACCGTAGATTAGTAAAATTGGATATTATTTACCAGTAAAGAATAACAACTGTCATACGTAAGATGTCGATTTATTGCATTCGATTAAATAATGTATCGGTTGAAAGAAACAAAAGTGTATTTAATCCGATGGGTTTGATGGAATTAATCACCCGTAAAGTTGAATGTGTTGATGTATAACTACAGTAATACAGTTTTTTTTTTAACCGTATATCTGTAAATATAAAGACAAATTACGATAAATTAGATCAACATTTGACAATTCGGTTGTTCGTCGTGTGGTCAGCGTGATGAAAAATATCAAACTTATTCCTCCATGGATGATGCTAGGTGTATGTTGTGCGTTGCATCGCGGCAAACCATAATGATGAATTTCACCGGATATTTTCCTTTCAGTATGCATTAAAATTGGTTCAATTAATATATTAGGGTATATTACGCAGAAGACACTCCTATGTTTTTTATATACAACAAGCAGATCCAGAGGCGTCCGAAAGGAAGAGTTGGGGGTGGGGAGGGGCGATCGACAGACAAAACTACTAGTTTATGATTCCCCTCCCCCACTTTTACTTTCCAAAATGAAGGTGGTGGTGGGGTCCCTAAATCCACCCATTTATAATACTTAAATAATTGTAGGCCTACTTAATACAAGCTAACTGTATAATAGTTGATATTTAACATTAAATTTTATATTAGTTTAATTTTCTTGATGTAAAGGACATGGCCCATAGCGATTGCCTATATAAAAATATTACTGTTTGACAAAGCTGAAATTCCTGTCACATAAAATAAACTTGGTTTGTAGGGTCACCAACTAAAGCACTCAATATTCCGAATGTGTATATTGAGTCTTCGCATCCCATCCGAAAGACAAGAATACAAAGAGACTACAATTGCCAGGTAGATAAGATAAAAATAAATTCTTTATTATAATTTTTTGTTATGAATTTATAAGAAAGACTTAGGCCTATTACCTGGCAGAACGTGACTGAAATCTACCGGATTTTACATTATTATGGTGGGATTATATCTAACTATTAAATCGAGTTTATTCAATACAGCCTTATTGGATATACGGTCAGTTAGGTAACCTATCTTTTCTGTTTAACTACATGGTGTTCCACTTTCATAATTTTTGGGATATACTTATTACTTTATCAAAGGCAATTCATACAACCAAATTATTTGTTAGGACACTATTAGTATTAAACTAATATGACTAAATGACTGCCATGATTTGAGTAATACAATCGTGGTTCGTATTCATGTATTATTGCGATATAATGACCTAATTTCACATACTTCTAGATCATTCGTACTATAGATTTCTATATCAGTTTTGATCTGCTCTTGCAATGCCCTCATTTTTCATAGACCTTTGCTCGTATGTACTACGGATCAATAGATCATGTGTGATACTCTCGTTAAAACGATGAGCAGTAATTTGCATTATAGTGTAACGTAACAACTTGGAAACATATAGGCTTATATTCTAAATATAGGCATAGTTATACTATACATAAGTTTTATATATGAAATTATATATATACATTTATATATATACATATACATATATATGTATATATACATATACATATGT